GACACAATATTATTGTTGTTTTTATTTTGTTATCTTGTTTTATTTTTTTTATTTGTTGTTTATTTTATTTTATTGGTTATTTAGGTTAGGTTAGGGTAGGGTAGGTTAGTATATTATCTGGAATCCAAGTTGCTTTTCTTCCCCTACTTTTAAGTTTAAGCTCTATTTGGATGGGACTAGTTTTTTTGGAGGATGTTTGAAAAATTGTGGTCCTCTGAGAAATCTGATCCCATCTGAATGTCTCTGATTGCTGATATTGTACTGTCCCAACGCTTCTCTTCATATGTTTTTTTTACCCGAGCTACTGTTTGTGCAACAATCTTCCACATGCTGCACTTTTCATTATGGATGGTATCTGACAAAAAAATAAAATAGTAAATATTAACAAGGAGAGCCAAATCATGGCAAAGTCTTTAAACACATGAAGTTTATTTATAATAAATAAAAATTATATCAATAAATATTTCATTAAAACATACATATACTGTAAATCATACATGATGCACACAACTACGTCACGACTCACTAACACCCTTATCTAGAAAACTCCCAGTCCCACATCTATAATAAACAATTAAATGTTAGTCCCATCTGAATTGGTACAAGAAATCATGGACGTCAGGTGATAAGAATTGTAACTCAGATATCATTTTCAAAACTAGTCCTGTCCAAACAGGGCTTTTTTGGATGGCAATTTTTCAGAAGCATCACAAACTTGCTTTGATACAAAAGTTTGCAGTTATTCAAATACGTAATTAATATATTAAAAAACGCATAGCAATCTTACAATCTGGCTTTGCCTTATTTTTTTCTGTTTTCAGTGCAGAGCTGTAGATAATAGGTATGGACATTTCTATGGCACGCTCTCCTTCCTGCCATTCATAACGCAGCTGGGCTCAGTTCCCCTGAACACTATCACACATACACACCATCCAGATATCAGGCAGTGCTGCTTTGCTTCACAACTAATCAGATTTGGCAACAAGTGTAGATACTCACTTCATTTTACACACACAAGCTACCAAGATTTAGTCCATCTACAGCGCTTGAAGGCTGATGTATCCATACCTGAGTTCAGTCAGAGCAGTGGGAATGCACTGATGAGCACTTCAGGCTTGTTATGGAGAGAGAGAGGCAAGGGCTACAGAGGTCAAGAGAGAGGGAGAGATGTACTTTTTTCACAGCACAGGAGGAAAGTGATCTCTAGTTGACATAAAAAGCAGGAAAAGCTGCCATATATGAAGCCTCCAGGCATATCAGGCTGGTATCGGTGGAGTTGCTAATTAAAAAGTAGGCTCATGTTTTGCTAAGGCTGCACTTTGAGAGGTTGCTGTATTAATATTCTGCAGATGGGTCAGGAGGACTCAGTCTTCCACCAATGTGGGGAGACAGATGTCTCACAGACACGCTCTGAATACAGCTGCAGCTCACTCGCTCACTCTCTCACTCTCTATCCTCTCATAATTTCACCTGCTGTTTCTCTCCTGCTCAGTACACGGTTGAATTTGTTCTGTTGTTTAATAATGTTCTTTCTCCACTTGTCCAGTATCCCTGCAGTAATAAGAGCTGATTTCAGTGGAGGGCTAAAGTTTTTTAGTGCACTTGAAATGAGTTATACTCTCAGCCAGAGATGAGACTGAAACAAGAATCATTCTCATTCTCTGAACAAACATGTCTTTAAGAGTCCATTGACAACCACAATTGAAAGAAGAGTTATCACATTTGAGATGACAATGTGTATTCTATTGTGTGTGTAACAGCTGTTTTATATAAAAATTAGCCATGTTTTGCAAAGGAAACGACAATGGAAAGAATACAAAAGTCCATAAAAATACCACCTAGTCTATTGTTAATATAAAATAATTTTCTGTATTTATTCTGAGTTATGCATCGCGTTGTTTTAGGGTTGAAGGAAATGGTCATAAACTTAACGAAAAAGATAATTTTTTGCCAGGACATAATCAATTTTTCCATAATTTCCATAATCTCTACTAGCTTGTTATTTCAACCGTTATATCCTCACTTCTGTTTTGTTCATCAGTTTTGTTTTTGTTTTTCTGGATGATTAGTGGAAATCAAGTTACTGCTGTGATGATATGCTAAATTTAGTTGCAATTGCAATTGATTGTTTTTTCTATTTCACAGTTACTGTACACTTCTGATTTCAATACTGCACTATTTGAAAGTGACTGATAAGCCAGATGAAAGAAAACATGGTGTCAACAGAATGTGCTCACTACCAAATGCTTGTTTTGTGTAACTGGATGAATTGAATCCGTAAGGATCAGTACAGCACGTGGCCTCTGCCCATACACCCACACTGTTAATGGATGTTGGGCCCTGTAAACACATCCCATAATTGAATGGGATGAATGGGGTCTTATCTAAAAGCCATTGTTTGTGTTGGCTATTTGTCAAGAACACTAATTCGCTGTTCAGATTTTGTTTTGATAGAAAAATGTAAAACTCCACATATCAAATTAGATTTTGAAAGGGGTCCATTGAAAAAAAAAATTGGAGCAATACGTAAGTGCTATACAAATAAATTTTAATTATATCAAAAACATCAGTGTTGTAATGGGGAGAAAAAAAAAAGAATATTTGAATGGGTTCAGTACTATACTATAACAGCACTATTTAATTATTATTTAAACATCTTATTTTCATAGATGACTCTGTTTCTCACACATAGGCCTGGTTTCACAGACAGGGCTTAAAGTCCCCATGAAATCAAAATTAAAGTTTTTTGGGTGTTAGTATCAATATGTTAGTCTTAAGGTTATCTATAAGGCAGTGTGCTCCAAAACAGTGACAAAATTTGCATTTATAAAATATAAGCATTCAAAGCTTGCAGTTTGTCACTTCCACCAAAACGGCACAACGATTTTTTTTTTACGTCACATCGTACCTTATCTTCTCATCAAATCTTCTGACCAATCAAATGCTCTCTAGAATCCGAAGCGCCCGCCCCCTGCACTATAAATAGACGCTGAAGCGGCTGAGATCGGTCACTTGTTAACAGTGTAGTATTTCCTGTACGGTGAATGGCACGTAGTGCACAATGTAGGCGATAGGGAATGATTCAGACAGTGTAAATATGCTTTCGATAGGTGCAAATGAGGTCTGGTTTCACGTTGTTTCATCGGCTTTACCGAGCTCAACGGCTCTGGCCCGAGCAGATATAAACTAAACGCTATTGGCTATTTTAAAAAGGGGGCGGGGCTGCTCGATATGTCCCGCCCTCTCTTCCTGTTTCAGTTGAAATTACGTCACCACATAGAATAATGCTGCGTGTTTCAAGGCACTTCAGGGGACCTTTAAGTTAAGCCAGGATTAATGGTTCAATTAGGACATTTAAGTATCTTTTATAAGCGTGCCTTAGAAAATAACATTACTCATGTGCATCTTGAGACAAAACATGGCACCGACATATTTTAAGATCAGTCAGTGCAAGTTTCTTTCAGTTAACAGCCCAGACATGCATTTTAGTCTGGGACTAGGCTTAAAGGGATACTCCACCCCAAAATGAAAATTTTGTCATCAATCACTTACCCCCATGTCGTTCCAAACCCGTAAAAGCTTCGTTCGTCTTCAGAACACAATTTAAGATATTTTGGATGAAAATCGGGAGTCTTGTGACTGTCACATTGACTGCCAAGTAAATTACACTGTCAAGGTCCAGAAAAGTATGAAAAGCATAGTCAGAATAGTCCATCTGCCATCAGTGGTTCAATCTGAATTTTATGAAGCGACGAGAATACTTTTTGTATGCGAAGAAAACAAAAATAACGACTTTATTCACACAGAGGAGACACAGAGGAGACTTTATTGGTCTCCTCTGTGTCTCTCCGCATCGCCGTAGCGCCATTTTGGAGAATATCCACTGAACGCAAGCAGCGTGCACTCTTCTGTGTCAGCCGTGACACAAGGATACGTTTTCTACGTGTATTTACGCTTTGATTTGAACGAAAACAGTGCATCCCTGTGGCGCGGCTGACACAGAAGAACGTACGCTGCTTACGTTCAGTGGATATTTTCCAAAATGGCGCTACGGTGGTGCGGAGAGACACAGAGGAGACGAATTGTTGAATAAAGTCGTTATTTTTGTTTTCTAAAGTATTCTTAAAGTATAGTATTAAAATAAAGTATTTACAAAAAGTATTCTCGTCGCTTCATAAAATTCAGATTGAACCACTGATGGCAGATGGACTATTCTGACTATGCTTTTCATACTTTTCTGGACCTTGACAGTGTAATTTACTTGGCAGTCGATGTGACAGTCACAAGCCTCCCGGTTTTCATCCAAATATCTTAAATTGTGTTCCGAAGACGAACAAAGCTTTTACGGGTTTGTAACGACATGGGGGTAAGTGATTAATGACAAAATTTTAATTTTGGGGTGGAGTATCCCTTTAAGCCTTGTTTGTGAAACCGGGGGATAGTGTTTTAATTCAAATGTTTGTGCATTGGATATTTACACTAGAGAGGAGAGTGACTATGGGCGACAGATGGAATGGTCTTATTCTGTCTGTCCTCTGTCCCTCTGGACCTGATATCAGTTGTCTTTTCTCAGTCCAACTAACAGTAGGCATGCACTGCTCTAAGGTAAATGTAGCTGTTTGCAATATTGGTTCACTTTTGCCATCTAGTGGTGTTTATTTATTTTTTTTTGCCTTCAGTATGTGTGAAGCTTTATACAGGCCTCTGTTTCACCTAATCATTAGTTGAATCATGTATTAACACTGCATAATAAAGAAAGGTCTGTTGTTAAGAGTTCACTCAAGTTAAACTATGTAAATATGTCTCATGCAATGTGACCTGAGTTGAATTGTGGTTGTTGAATTGTGCCACCCGGTGGATGGTTTAATGTCTGCATCAAATTAAGTTTCCATGAAATGTTATGCACAAGTTAACAAACTGTTATTTGTGTAATAATTGCGATACAGTCATCTTAGAATTTGATTTACATTTAATCTTGTATTCTTCTTTCTTCATTTCAGAAGGAGCTGAGTCTTCCCAGAAGAGGCAGTTTGTAAGTGATAAATTTCTTCTTTTTCTAGAGGATAGAGAAATCTATGGTCTATTTGTGAATAATCAGACCTTGAGAAATTGTATTACAACTGTTGTGAAGAGGATGCTATGCCCATTCAGCAAAGTTCTGGTCATGTATTCTAATTACACTTTAGGATGTACTGTGGGTGTTAAATAAATCTGTTTTATAATACTTAAAGAGTACAGTGGGGAAAACCCTTGTGTGAAATTCTTTATTATTGTACTTTGCATGTGCACACTAGAAAACACTACAAAACTAAATACAGTAATAAAGGAAGTAAATAAAGGACTGAATAATTAAGTTATGTAATATTCATGTTGCAGATACTCAGTTATTTTGTCGTAGATCAGCATTTGATTATTAAGTATTAAGTAAATATTATCAAGTATGTATCGTTCAACACAACATTGCTTTTGAAATTGTGATCTAGAGCAAATTCAACTATCCTTTATAGAAAACCAAAGGAATATATATATTTATATATTCAGTCATTTCTTTCAGACTTGCATTAATGCCTTACAACGTCTGGATATTCCTTGATAAGACAGCATGTTTAATATTTCACACACTGCTGTATCAGTTCAGTTAGCATTCCTACCAAATCACAGTGTCAACACGGTTTACTGCACATAGACAGGGTCACGGGGGTCATAGGTCACTGGTAGGGCAGTGACAGGCAGATTACTGCAGGCCTTTTCCGACAGCTGAGCATTTCGGTTCCTGCTCTTACACACCTATCTATATCTTCCTTTCTATTTATTTTTAACCCAGTGCCAGCAAAGAATGTGCTCTTTACAGCCAATCATAAGAAAGCGCAATATCAGTATCATGTGATTAGTGGATGACAGACAATATTTTGGTGTTATATTTTTGGTGTAGTTTTGAGTGCTACAAAGGCAGTGTGTGAGCAGACTGTTGTTGTGTTCTTTTTTATACACGTTCAGGGTTTTTTATTTTTTTGCCTTTGTATAGCTCAGAGTGACTGGCATGGGCGGGCAGAATGCAGGCTATTGTGAGGGTTCACTGAGTTTGTTCCACCCGCCGCGGGATTACAGGGCTTAATCAAATCAAACCTTCTATTCAGCCATACTGCTTGTTGGAGAAATCTCATTTTAGCACTCATTCATGCCCTTATTCATTTAGGGTTTTGGTACTTTGTGACTCACCCTCTCATATCTCTTTTTCCATCTCACCTTTTTACTTGGTGTGGGAACCCTGTAAAGGGGAAATGAAATGATTTATTTTGTAATTATCCCCCCCCGACTGACTTTCTTCTCTGGAACACAAAAGGAGATGTTTAACAGAATGTTCACACTGTGTTTGTTCAAACAATTAAAGCAACTTTATGAAAACTGTCAAGCTCAAAAAAGGATGAAAGAGCACCATGAGGTTATGTTTTATGTAATCTAATACCCAGTAATCTATAAAAAACATGAATAATTATTAATAGTAATAACAACAATCATTATTATCACTATTAACATTAATAATTAATAAACATAATTGTAAAAAAAAAAAAATCAACACGGTAATCTTAAGCAAATCTCAAATTGAATATCAAATTTTCATACTGTATATTATAATGTTGTGACGGAGCAAAATTAGTGTTAAAGTAAATTGTAGGAGTAAATCATGACAAAATTTAATTTTTTAAGTGAAACATCTTTTTATGCATATATGCAAAGAGCTGTAGATCTTGTGTCAGTGTAATTGTATTAGGCTGTCTTGCAGCAGTGTGTGTCAATGTTGAATGTAAGCATGCTTAAAGCTTGTGTTGGGGTTTCTCTGCTCTTTGATCCTGCCTATTGTCTCCTTGGGGCTGCATTTAGCCAAAAGCATTTGCCTGGGAACAGTGGATAGGACACTGATATTCTCTTGGTTCCCAGAACTGTGTGTACAGCGATGGGCCGGTGTGAGGTAGGGGCAACAGCTGCACCTCCCCCAGGGTCTTGTGATATCATGAGAATGCCCTCTCCCTCATTGCTCGGTGTGTTTGTGTGTCTCTGACTATCTTGGCAACATACTGTATACACACTTTATTAGTCGAGTTCGGAGGAGAGTGAAGCTTTTTCTTATTTGCCTTTCATTCTTCACATTGTATTTTCGTGTTCACAGCCCTCAGAAAGACAGAACACTCCTGGACACGACTTTTAGAAGATTGTCGTTTAACAACAAATACTGTCATGACCTCAGTTCACACAGAAGTGGATATTTGCTCTGGCCATGGACAAGCTGAGACGTGAATGCACAAGAATTGTGATCGAACAGTTGATGGCTCTGATGAAGATAAAGGAAGTATGGCTGGAATTGCTGAAACTTTTATAATCAAGAGTTGATAGTTTGGTAGCTGACTTTTACAGTACGCAATGTAGTGCTTTTGCAACCGTGATAAACCTGTCACTGGAGACTCTTTCTAGTTTCACTTCTGAGTAAAAGACTTGTTGTTGTATATCCAGCTGTTATACTCATGAACATGAAGAAAAGAAAGGAAAGATCTGGAGCCCCCAACCTGCACTTACAGTAAGAGTTGATTTAGATCATGAGTATGAACTAGGGCTGCACGATTTGAGGAAAAAAGCCGAATTGTGATTTTTCTGATAATAAAAAAAAGATAACAAAGAACAACCTCCAGGTTTGCTAAGCTTGTTTGTAGGGCTGCACAGTTTGGCGAACAAAATTTGTGATTATATTTAAATATGAACATAAAAAAAATGTATTGTTGTTGTTTTGTTATTATTATTATTCACTGTAAAAATGAGTAACAATTATTAAAAATTCTTTTTTTTTTTTTTTTACAGTACTTGTGTAAAATTACAGTACTACTATTTATGACTGTCTTATTTTCTCTATTAAACTATCAAGTTTTTAATTTTGGCAAAAAGCTGCAGGGAGCTCATAAAGCTTTTCTTTATTGGCAGTAGCTGGTTTATAAGCACTTCTCATTACATGTATGGAGAGCATTTTATAAGTGACCCAAAATCAGAGCAGATGACTTCATGTTTAGCATCATTTACAGCAAACCAAGCCGCTCTGAGACACTGCTACTCACATGTAAAAGAATAGAGTGCCTTGTATCACTTTGAAACATGCAGCACATATATTTATTTAATTAAATCACAGCATCTGCTATTTGATGTGCACACTAAGCCATATTGCAATTTCGGTTTTATTTTCATTAATCATGCAGTCCTGGTATAAGCCAGTGTTTTGCTTGTGTTTGTTTAAAGAACCTTAACTTTTTCCTTATTCTTAAACTTTTACTTGAGACCAGCTAACTGTCACTCATTTTTTAAATGCATGAACTTTATCCATTGAGGTTTCTAAACATGACCACAGCATTAGCTTTACACAAACAGACCGCAGACTTGACAGTTAAGCACCAGGTTTCCTCTTTCTCCCTCTCTCAGTCTGTCTGGGAACCCGATACCTGCTTTCCCCTCATGCTGTGAGTGGTGGCTGAATTTCTAGCTCTCGTCTGGTAGATTCACAGCCACAGTGTGTATCTCAGTTTACAGCCTCCAAACACAACCCATCAGAATGCCAGAAAGACTCAGGCAAAGGGAAGTCTTTACTCAGCAGAGTATGTGTGTGTTTATGCATGATTCAGTCATGTCAAATGCCAGCTTTTGCCAGGTCAGCTTCTCTTACCCCCTCCACTCCACACTGAGAGCACATCTGTGCCTTGGCAGGCTGAAGGAGCTCCCTGTTGCCTGAAAACCAAGCTGTAGTCTTGCATGGTGGTACACTTTCAAATCCCGTAGTATTTCAGTTCCCCGTAGTATTTAGAACTTGGTTAATTTTTTATCCATTTAGTTTTTTATAACGTTAAGTCCAGTTCACACTAAGATGTCAAACAAAACAATGCATGTGTATGGATTCCTGAAAACAATTATTTATGTATGTTGCATAGGTGCAGATTAGTTATATAATAAAACTAAACTATATAACAAGATTTAAAACTACTATTGATATGAAAAATGACTTATCAGCAAGCAGAGCAAAAGAAAGCGATGTGATCTAAAGAAAAAATAATTGCTAACAAATTGGAATGCTTATTTTACAGCTGTATTATTAGCTGCATTATTGTTTTGCATTTTGATGTATTCCTATATCACTTTGTCACACTATTTTACTATAACAGTTTCATTCTAGGAGACTGACAACATATTGTTCATATTTTAGTGATGGGTTGTGTTTTGCATGAAATCTGTTTTCCAACTTATCGTATTCTAGCTTCATTCAGATATTCAGCAGTTCCTTAGGCCAACAAACAAAGATTTGTGGCTTGCAAAGTAAATAGATTTGTTGTGAAATATCTTTTTGTTATTTGCATTGTGTGGTAATGTCACTCTTGGTGTGAATAAGCGTAAATAGTGAATAAAAATAGCCAGTTATGTCAGAACTGTGGTTGTATTAAGATTGTAGGCCTATAAAGATAAATGGTTGTATGTCCCGGTCCTGTTCCTATTCTTTTTCCCTGTTATTCCCAAGAATCTGCAGTCTTTTCCATAGAGTTATACTCTGTCTTGCTGTTTAAAAGGAAGAACACATCCTTTGTGTTGTTGAGTGTTATTACTGGTGAAGTGATGGAAAACAAGATCCTGTCCCCCAACTATGTATGTCCCATTTTGTAGAAGGGTCCCACTTTATATTAAGTGGCCCTAATACCTGCTTTTTCTGAATAAAAGTATTACTTTGTTCATAAATCAATCAATCAATCAATCAATCAATAATCTGCCACCAAATTCTGAACTCTTCACTCAGGTTTGAGCTCATAGACCTGTTGCTATGACAGCAACTCTGAGATGAGCTTTGAAGAATGAAACGATCCAGAGTACCGGTAACTCAGTAATAAAGTACAAAGAACAGCACACTGTTTGGTGACACCAGTGGAGCAGAAAAACACACCTTTAACTGGATTCCAAATCAGATTGATACATCAGAGATAACTTTCTATAAATGTGATGATCAGAGAAGCC